GAAAAGAAAGAAAAAGGCGAAAAGGGTAGGCATCAGGATGGATCCGAGGTGTGTGATGGTAAAAGCCTCTTAACTGCTCGAAAAGCAAGGAACGGTTATTTCGATTAGAGCAAACAGAGGTTTTTGAGTACATTGAATATGAGTGAGGACAAAACAGGATTGGCTGGATGGAATAAAGCTTATGTTCGGTACCCTTCAAGTAGGGTAAATTATTTAACAGGACCTAGAGTTGATCCTAGGACAACAAGTTTGAATAGTGACACAGCACTTCATGTTGCTGAGCAATCAGGATGTCTGCAGGCTACTATATCTAGTTCTATGGAGCATCATGATATTAAAGCGGAGGATAATAGCAGCTTAGCGCGTCCTGCTGATGTTTGTTTACGGTCAACGGATGGACAGTTGTATACTGGTCCAAGTAGTCATAGCAACATTGGTAGTGTTAGTGAAAGTGGTAGCTTAGCTTTCAAGCCGGCATGCCAACTATCCCTCAACTCGTCATTAACTATGAATAGTCGGAACATCATTGTGGACAACAATAGCGTCAAAATGGATGTGAAACCTGATGTATCTATTAATAGCGTAGTTGATGTGAATAATAAACGTGATGGCAATGATAGTGGAATCACTATAGGTAGTGCTGTTTCTTCGATTGATGTCGCTAATGTAGCTTCTTTGAGTGCTTCGGATCAAGACGAAATTGGATGTTTGAGCGTGGAGAATGTAGGCGTCGGTGGCAATAGCTTTAGCCACAGTGATGGCAGTACTGTGAGGGCTAACATTCGGTACCCGAGATGCAATGAGGAGTCATCTAGCTTTGATGGACATGCTGTTGTGTTGAATATGCAGCATGAGGAATCGAGCACGGAATTGTCCACCTGTCGCACTCCACCACCATTGACTTGTACTACAAGCTTTGGGATGAGCACTACCAACAGTGATAAGATAGAAGAGGCTAAGAGCATTCCTAGTAAGGAAAGCAATGTTGATCGAGTAGAGTTAGCCACTGTGCATGAGTCGACTGGATGTCATGAGAAGTGTACTACTGCTTGTACGGCTGAGGCTATCAGTGATAATAGTATTGATGATACTCCTGCGAGTAATAGTGATCGATGGAAGTTGAAAAACACTCATCGTCGTCGAAATGATCGTACGTTACGCTCACATGCTGCTACCCAAGCTAAGAAGCATAAGAAACAACATGATGCTACTATTATTAAGAAGCCTAAACTTCGTTCTCTTTCGGATGCTATGACTAGCAATGGAAATAGTAGTCATCAGAATCTTAGTAGTGACAGCAATAGTAAAGAGACAGAAAGTGTGAGCAGTCCACCTATAGTGACTAGTCGATCAACTTCATCGAATGAGCCTTCTAGTGTTTTGACGTCATCGGACCCTGCCGCGAATGTTAAGTTGATTGAGGATACACAAGGTTGTGTAACTGTAAGTGTTCCTACTCCGGTTGACTGTCAGTCGAGTGATGATGAGAAGGAAGCGTCTGATGGTAACAGCCAATCTACAGTGTTGTATGATAACGATGCTACTGATGTGCATATGTCTTGTGTCTCTGAAACGGAACATGAAGAACGACAAGTGAGTTTATCGGTTTTGGATTGCGATACTAATGCTGTTCTTTCATGTAGTGAGATGAGTTGTACAACAATGGAAGAGTTTCACTCTACGGATGCTAGTGCAGACCGAAACGACGCGACTTGTCTGACACAATGGAATCATGTTGACGATGGTAATAATCTGGATGTCACTGATGTGACAAATGAGTTGCCGACGATGACGAATGCTGATCAAACCTCCTCTGTATCAGGAGATGGAGAGATAAATATTGGTCTCATGTTATGCCACTTAAAGTCTTCGGGAGACGAGGAAATATCAAAATTGGAGATCCCACCCTTGCATATTAACTATGGGTCAAGAACTTCTGTTGATAAGTCAGCATCACGGACTTCATTGTATCTGCCGTTCGGAGCAAGTGGTGGTGGATTGACGACTCATCCCCATGATATGGAATGTAATTCCCGGATAGGATATGACCAGCTTCACGACGTGTTATACATGTTCATGTGGGTTAATTGGATAAGGTTTATACTACCGTTAGGTCATGCTACGATAGATAGGGGAATCAAGGGCCTGATGGGAAGGTACAGGTACCTAGTTAGCTTGATAGGTCATATCCATGTTGGATGGCGGGTAGGCGTACTTCTGTAAGTCCTACTCGTTCTTCCGGTATGGATTAGGGGATGAGAGTGAACCCTAAATTGATGTGTCAGTAAGCGCTTGTTTTTGCATGGCGGGATTTTGCGGGCCGGTGTAGAATCTTTTTTGAATGTTTTGTTTTTTGGAAAATCCCTCCATGTATATATATTTGTGTTATGATATGACTGACTCTTTCTGTTGACATTTTGGTACTCTATTTGATTCCATTTTGAGATTTTATCATTGTATATTGTTATTATTTCTATATTTTGTACTTATATTGAAGTTTTTATGTTTGCTTCTGAACTGTACACATGTTGTTTAAATTTGATATTTAATATGGCTACAGCCATATTTGGATTTAATACCGTGGTGGCGACCGGTAACCGGTACCTGCTAGTGATTACGGAGCATGCTACACGCTGGATAGATGCCGTATCCATTCCAGACCAGCCGGCAAGAACAATGACCGAAGTGGTAATCCGGCATATTGTAGGGTGTCACGGAATGCGGAAGGTGATATTAACTGACCATGGGCCCTGTTTTGAAAGACTACGGCGACAGCTTATTAAAAGGGGAGACGAGTGTGGTGCTGGAATCAAAGTGAACTGCTAGGGTAGAAAATTCATCTATAGTGTATGCTACCGACCATTATTTTCCAGACTATTCTATCCTGGGCTTCCCTCCCCACTTTTGTCAAATGCCTGTTCATTCTTCTCATATCTCTCTCTATTTCTCGGCGTAATCTGTTCCTTGGCCTTCCTCTTTTCCTTTTACCTTGAGGGTTCCATGTGAGGGCTTGTCTTAAGACGCAGTTGGGTGCTTTCCACAGTGCTTGTCCTATCCACTTCCACCAATTCTTCCTAATTTGGGATCTGGTTTGTTCTCTCCCACAGTACGTTGTTGCTGATGGTGTCTGGCAAACGAATCCGAAGCTTTTGTGTAGACAACTGTTATTGAATACTTGTATCTTCTGGATGATGGCTTTCGTAGTTCTCCAAGTTTCCGCTCCATTAAGTGGAGCAGTCCTAACATTAGTATTGAAAACCTTCATTTTGATGTTGGTTTATAGTTGTTCAGAGTTCCAGATTTTGTTCAATTGTAGAAATGCAGTCCTCGTTTTGCCGATCCTCGGCCTCATGTCTGCATCCGATCCAACATGATTTTCGATGATGCTGCTCAGATATCTAAAGCTTATTACGTCCTCCAGGGTATCTCCGTCCACAGTGATTTGATTAGCGAATGTTGTGTTGCATCGTAGAATCTTGCTTTTCCCTTCATGTACGTTGAGAACTACTGCTGCTGAGGCTGCTACTACACAGGTCGTCTTCTCTTGCATTTGTTGTTGCGTGTGTGATGGGAGAGCCAGATCATCTGCCAAGTTCAAATGGTCCGGCTGCATCCTGGCTGCCTATTAAGTACCGTGCCTTCCTCCAGATGTTAACTTCTTTATAATTCAGTCAATTACTAGGAGAGAGAAAGATTGAAAGTGAGCAAGCTTGCCAGACAACAGCCTTCTCTCAGTTTAATCCATCATGAGAGTTTCGTATTATGTTGAATATATTCTCAATCACGCCGTAGTGTCAAACACTAGTATTTCTACAACTAATGTTTCACTGAAACATGTGCTGACTTGCATGCAATAGATTACTTAATCATGAACAACAATTATGAGTCAGCAGTTGTAAAGATCTAAGGATCCAATATCCAAAATCTTTTACACGAGCAAGTAGGAACCAATTGATTTCTTTGCTCTCGCTTCTTGTTGTTTCGGTAGGGTTCCAAGTGTTTGGTAGGGATAACGAAAATGATATCCCCATTCATCCATTTTCATAGAGTGGTTATAATAGGATGATAAGAAATAGGTTCCATATTGATTTGAATTAATTCATCCTAGTCATTAGTAGTGTACTGTTCAATAAATTTTGATGTGAATAAAAACCAGTACAGTAATCACCAGCTAGGACAACGTTAAGACGCCGAATGATGGCTTTGTTAAAAGTAGCCTTTCCTGTAGTGTTGTGTAGTATTTTCTTAATGGCTTGTGTTGGAACGATTCACGAAGTAACACGATTAACTATTATTGCATAAAACTGAACATAGTGTGCATCTGTGGTTTAGGAACAAAATAACTACACAATGGACAGTATGAAGAGGAAATGAGAATTTCGGATTTGGATTCAACTTATTCTCGACCGTGTTCATGAAGTTACTAAATTCGCTACATTACAAATATTTTTTGACGGTTTCGTGTAATGCTGATATTTTTTATTCTCCTTTGAGTTTGTTTTCACTTTAACGTTATTTTTCGTTCCTCGTTCAGATCGAATAACGCTGATTGAACATATGCATTATCAGCCGCTTAATAATATTAGTGTACAGTGAACTTTGATATAACTAAACCGTACTGGTTAGCACCTTATAGAGATGTCTTGTTCATGTAATATGTAGCAAAGTAATGTAATTGAAAAATATAATGAGCTTCCCGAATCTGTCGCTTATAGATTTCATAATAGCTGATTCCGTTTTTAGAGGAAAATTCGGTGGAAATAAAGCATGATACGGACAAAGATATCACTTCATGTACATACATGTTTTCACAAGGACAACTTTTTGTGTTAATCGTTTTCCAGTAATATTCTGGCTTACGTGATCTAAGAAATGCATAAGTTCAACGAAAATTTCTATCTTTTACTGGAAGGCTCATATCAGGTAGTGCTGTGAAGGCCAGACGACTGTTTGAGTACCGGTGATGTAATCTGTTGCCTAATTTTGTTTAGTGAAGCTAGGTAATATCGTTTGCTCCTAGCGCTTATACAAATTCCAGATGTACGAGTACTAAGCTTGTAGACAATAGGTTGGGGAATTATTATTTTGTATTCCATATTTTCAGATAATTTTTTACCTAGCCTGTAAGTTTCCACGGTATAAATGATCTCATTTGGTAACGAAAATTCCGCTGTATGACAACAACTCATACCCGCTGCTCAACTTGTAATATGTGGACTTGACTATTGCCCTCCGCCTACATGGCCAAGTCGATATTTGAGGGTTGAATTCATTGATTTGTGAATACTTTAAGCAGCTGATCGCCTTATTAACTGTGATAGTCTCCTGATTGATTGAGTGACCCTTCAAGGTTGTCAGTAGGTTGTATTTTTCCCACAAATTTGTGTTCATTTCTATATGAGAGCAATATGAATGTTCACATCGTAGTTAATACTGTCCTATGGTTATTAAGATCCACAACATTATAAGACAATGTGTATCAGTGTAATTCTTTATCAAGAAGTAATATGTGACTCCAAGTTCTCCTGAATAGCAATATCAGTGGATGCTTTTGAATAAAGAAGGCCTTAATGAGCATTTAAAATTTTAAATATTCACATATAATGTATTGATAGTTCAGTTATTTGCAAAGTATATACATTTTGCGGTGTGTAACTCCTTTTTTAGGTACAAAATAATAATTCGGTTTTGTCGTGAATTCTCTGTTTGATGTCGTTCTAGTCTTTGGGTGTTTGAATATGAAAGTTATCATTCTCCTATGGCTGTATGCAAATTTAGCTAACGGAGTTTTCTTCTTAGGCAAAGAGAAATCGACATGTACTAAATTGGACTACTGAAGATGTTGTCAAATGGTTATACAGATATGCCAGTCCAGTTGGTGCAAAGTACTCTAAGCTGTTCGAAACAAACAAGATTAATGGTAAATATTTGGTATAATGCTGATATTTTTGTTTGTAAGGAATGTGTTTGCGCCTTATGACGGATGAGTGGCTTCTTCGATTGGGAATAGTCGATCAAAATGATAGGTATATCTGTATATTTAATTATTAGTAAACGTTCTAACTTTCAATAGGTCAGCGCTTATGAGTCATATTTATCGAATGCGTCTGAAGTATGATTCTTCAGATTTGTCGGATATGCTTAAAAATAATTAATGATCGCAGTTTGTATGAATAAACATTTTGATTTAAAAGCTTTTTTTCTTCCCTATTCCTTTCAACAAATAACGTAGTTTGTTCATTGTTTAAGGTGGCTTCAGGTGCTGCTAGTCGGACGGGTCCTCTGTTTCAGTTGGGAAAATGTCTTGCCATCCCTATGCAGTTACATGTGACTAATCGACAGCGTCTTTGCAATCGCATTCGGGATAGACTATCGTTGCACGATACTAGCAAGTCGCTCTCACACAATCTGTCTGGTGTGTTTATTGTGCTGCAAGGTGGTACCGACACTTTTCTGGGAGACTCAGATGCTGCTAACGTTTTTCGGCAGGTAGGTTTTAACGTGATTGTTGCAAATGCATACATAGGATCTGTGACCGTAGTTCTATTTATTTCACCTAGCTTTAAGCATTCGGTATTTATCATACTTTGCTTGCTTTAAAAATCTTTTGCTTCAGTGCTCATCGACATTTCTTACCAATTACTACAGTTTGGAAATTCCTCAACCAATCACATGCGTCACGAATACCACCACCGACTTCCTCGACGAGAAACTCCGCCTGTAGACCCTTCGGGGCTACTACCGGTCCCAAGTCCGGATAAAGGAGGGTTTGGGTTCGTGACCCCGTCTCGCTAAAAAACTACCTCGCTAAAAGAAACGCTAACAAGAAAAAATAGTTCAAACCATATTAAATCTGCTCTGGTAGTTAGGTCTTCATTTAGAAAAGTTATGACGTCTCATGATTAAAGTCGAGTTTCTTCGGAAGTTGTCAGGCTGATGCCCCTCTTGACAACCAGAACACTTCCTCGGTTTGGGAAGCCGTGAAGTAACATCCGCCCACATACCCATAAAGGCACACGAAACCAAATAAGTCACAATGAAATCCTTTCTACACCTAATAACTCTTATCTCCTCAACCAACCCTTTCGATCGTTTATCACCTCACGCCACTGAAGAAGACGGTACGAGCTCGCGAAACATTATTATTGGTCTCTTGAAACCCCGTGCTGAACTACATATAGGAGCTTTTAATGTTCTCACCCTATGCCAAATAGGGCAACAGGTTTCATTAGCTAAAACTGAAATCTCGGGCGATCGATGTATGTTGCATCTCCGAAACGCGCATACAAGATCCGAGTAAAATCAATTTGACCTTACCTAGTGCATGTAGAGGCACAACAAGCTTTACGCTTCATGTTTCTGGAAGCCCTGATGTCGCTTCTCGTGGCATCGCCGACGTAGGTATAGTATTAAGTCCCAGGACAGAACTGGATTCCGATGGACAGTCGCTTATGCGCTGTCCGATTGAATGGGACAGTAAGGGCTTGCAAAGATAGGGAAACTCGCCGTTACCTCTTCGTCGTATCTGCATACGCTACCACTGACTGCAGTTCAGACGACGTGAAAGACAAGTTTCATAGAAACCCCCCTAAACTCCAAAATGTTAAGCGCTCTGATATAGTAATGATGGCTGGTGACTTTAATGCTCAAGTAGGTAGACTAAGTGAAAATGAAAGACACCTAGGTGGATGTTATGGTGTCGCGGTTCAGAGAACAGACAATGGCGACCATCTGTTGCAAATATGCTCAGATAACCGCCTATTTCTAGCGAACACTAACTTTAGGCATAAGGTAAAACACCTTTTGACCTGCTGACCCCCAAAGTCGCTTCAACGCTGGACCCAACTAGATCACATCGCTGTAAGCCATCAGTGGAGAGGCTCTATTGGAGACTGCCTCTCATTCTGAAGCACTTGTTCATACTCAGACCATGCTTTAATGTGAGCGCGTATTTGTTTGCGTCTTACTGGATGTAAGAAAAACATCTCAAGGAAACCTGTTAGGGCTCTAGTTAGTGATAATAAAGCTAAGAATATATTTCAGGAGCAACTAGAAAAACAGTAAGGCGGCCATGTAGTAAGTGATGCCCATCCTGATGTAGCTTGGAATGATATAAAAAAAAGCTGTGGAGATAGTGATACCTGCTAGCAAGTCAGACATTAAAGTTAGGGAGAAGCCGTGGATTTCAGTAGCATCTACAGAACTAATGGATGCTCATAAGCTCATCCCGCCTGGCTCTGAGTGCGATGAGGAGCAGAGTCAACTTAAGCGCAAGCTGATAAAAAGCCTATGCAATGATTGCAAACAGTAGGGGGCAGCAAAAGCAAAGTAGATGGAAAAGGCAGTGCGATAGGCATTAGTAGACAACTATTTAGACTGATCAAGGAAGCCAGTATTAGGAATCCAACTGTAAGGGAGACTATCTCAGAAAAGGATTGTCTAATTATTTATTCTTAATCCATGAGATCGGATCGATGAGCAGAACACTTCAAGGATCAGTTCAATTGGCCTTCAACCACACTTCGGTTGCCCACGATCTCTAGTCATCCTGAATGGCATATCGACGTAAGTCGTCCGACTCTTTATGAGGTTGAGAAAGCGATAGGAAATCTGAAGTAAGGGAGTGCAACGGGTCGAGATAGATTAATCCCTGAGATATTTAAAAATAGTGGTCTAGTTTTAGCAGCTAGATTGACTGAGATCTTAAGCAGAATCTGGGAACTAGATGTAATCCCATTCGACTGGTCTCAATCTCTGATTGTCCCAATTCATCAGGACAAAAGTCCTCTTTTGACAATCACAGAGGAATCAGTGTAACTAATATAATTTCTAAATTGTTAGCCTCGATTATGCTTAGACGCCTAACTATAGCTCGTGAAGAGCAGACTGGAGAAAATCAGGCTGGCTGGACGTGGCTGTACATACCACATTTTTACACTATGAAAGGTCCTAGAACAAAGACACATGTCCAGACGTCCCACAATAGTAGTATTTCTCGAGCTCGAAGCGGCATTTGACTTGGTTGACTGTGAGCTTCTGTGGCAGTGTTTGTCATCAAAAAAGGTGTGCTGGAGAAGTACTCGGACACGCTTGGTCGAGTGAGAGCTTATGACAAACTGTAGATATATCATTATCTTCGTCTGAATTTTCAGGAAACACTCTTGTTGGCTTAGAGTATGCTGATGACATAGTTGTATTTTGTGAAGATACTGACACAATACAGTCTTCTGAACACCTTAAGTAACAATGCAAGCATATTCGGGATGCGATTCTCCCCGTCGAAATGGAAAATGTTGCTTCAAGATTGGATTGTATCCGCACCAGAAAAAGTGATAGGGAGTGAAGTAGTTGAACGTGTAGATTGCTTCATTTATCTTGGGGGTCTCATCAGTACTGATGACATGGTGACTGAAGAAATCTCAGCACGGATACAGAAAGCTCAATTGGCGTCACTTATGGCGAAGGCGAGATATTCGTTTGCTAACTAAAGGACGAGTGTACTGCACATTAGTTCGCTTCGTCCTACTTTATGGATGCGAAACGTGGCCGGTAAGAGTTGAGGAAATTCTCTGGTTATTAGTATTCGATCATAGATGCCTTCGAAGCATTGCTTGTATATCCGAGGACAATCGAGTAAGCAGTGTGGTGATGAAGTAGTGAATCTTCATCAGTTGAGGTGGTTGAGACATGTGTTGTTACTTATGCCTAACCACCGACTGCCTCAACGAGCTGTTTTTCGGTGTAGGAATAGGTTGGAAGAAAGCTAGAGCCGGCTAGACTAAAATATGGCAGAAATCTATGAATTTACTGAAAAGTGGACTGTGACATGTTGGTGGGTATAGACTACCTGGTTGAAGTCCACGAGGCGATAGTAACCGATGGTTGGAGACCTTGAACTACGTGGCTCAAAATCGTTTGCAGTGGCACAATTTCAACAACTTGAAATAAGTCTGTAAAATAACACCCCAAAAGATTAGCTATCTTAGTAATCTATCATCACAAATTGTCGAAATTCGTTCTCTGCAGCATTATTCACTATATATTTTATCTTTGTATTATTCTAAACGTGAAATGTGATCAAAAATATATTTACCGTATTGTAAATAGGAATCATTTTTCCACTGGACTTTCGGTGTTCTTGAACCAGATTGTTATGGGCTAATCGAAGTAGTTACTGGACGTTCTACACTTTTCATTCCAAAAATATCAGAAGAAGCGGCAATATACGATGGAGAATTAGCTTCGCTTGAACAATTTTCAAAAAAATATGCTGTAGATGAAACTCATTATACAGATGAGGTATGTTTTTTGTAGAATTATTCTAAGGAAACGTAAATAAGAGAGAATTGTTGCCATTTGAAAAAGAAATGAATTTCGTACAACTTCATAGCATATTATAATAAATGTTGATAGGCTTAAGTTGTAGTCGTCCACTTCCCTGATAATGGTCAAGTGTGGAAAGAGTCTCTATTCCCTCTGCCAAAAACTTCCATATAGACATGCATACGAAGCCATATCTAGCGAACTCCTACTCTCTGCCTCCTCATAAGAACAAGTATTGTTTAGGGAATTAAGAAGTTGAGAAGCAAATATCTTAGAGGAACACAATCCAGCTTGGGACTGCAGAGGGTCGTCTTAGAGTAATGAGAAAACCGTTATTCTAAACCGCTGGCACCCATGAGCTTCACGGTCCTGACTGAACTTAAAACGTTTGTCACTACTACCAGTCACCAGCTATCGTGTGACTGCATCTTCTAACGTTGTTACACTGCCTGTTGAATTAGATCTGTAGGTGACCGGCACAGAGAATGGCCGTCTAAGAAAACCAAGTACTTTGATTTAAACACCTGACCGGTATCTTCTTAACCCATTAACAAATTCAATAACTTGTATGGCGCACAAATATTTCGGTTCTCCTTTGGATCAATGTTTCTGTGCTCAAATAGTAAAATTGAGTTATAACTATTGTAGTGAAGGAGAACACAGGTGAGGGCAACCGAATTGTATTTAACGAAAATTACTGAGTTACTCAGTAAAATAGGAAAACCATATCGTAACCGTTAATTTGCAAATCTTCAATCAATCATCAATCGATTGTCTGACATTTCACTATTCATGCGTTTCATACAAATTCCATTGTGTTCTAACTCTTCCTTTCTTGATCTTCCCCCATTTTTTGCTGCAAGACATTACGTTTACATTCGCGTCATATACTACTTGTAAGTAGCGCGCACCACACTATTATAAGGAGTAAAGACATACTAGTCTGTATGTAAATCTCACTGCGGAGTGACTGCACTGTATTGATTATTTCTTTGTTTTAACACAGTGCACATATTGGTTGAGTGTATTATTGATTATAAATGTACAAATTGTTATCAACAGAATTATACTAGTTAGAAAATGAAACTAAACTGAAAAATTTGTTGAAAATATCTAAAATAAAATTTAATCCTCTACCCTTAAACTAAAATACAGCACATATTCAAGTTTGTTTGTGTATTGACCAAAGTTTTACTAGCGATTCCCATAAACCTGATCAATCTCATCAACCCGGATTCGATTGGTTGCATTGAGATTATTTCATTTGATTCAAATCATGAATCGATCAACGTTGAGTCAACATTAGAAATCTGTAAGCACTGAATTGCTGTTTCGTCCGAGTACGACACTCACCCACGACCCCCTCACGCGGTTACCAGAACCAAGACCTTCGGTCTCCCGTGCCATTGCTTAGTGAGGAAATTTCTCCAAGTTCTAGTGAGTTGTCGTGACCAGTGGAGTTCAACCCCGTCGGATGCGAAGCAGTGCCCACTGAAGTAAACGGATGAGACCATGCAAGACAATGGGTTGATCGCAGATCACGGCTCTGTGGTTTATAGGCTAAGCGTTCGCGTGCGAGACCGAAAGTCCTGAGTTTTATTCCCAAGAGGAGGTCGTGGATAATCACTGCTGATAAGTCTCGTACTAGAAAAAAAACACCCGTCCAGCGCTTACAGGTTTTCACTGATGGTCTAACAATGATCGATTTATTATTTCAAGAAAACTCAACAATATCTATAACCACCGAATGAAATTATATCATTTGACTTAAAATGTAAGTTGCTACGTATAATACATTGATTTTGTATTGTAATAACAACAAAAACAACACATTTTCGTCCTCATGGTGTCGCGTGTGTGCATAGTTATGTTGTGAACTATCATTCACATACTTCAGACAGATTGGTATTGAAATACTTTGACTTATTTTGTCTGTATGTGTATATCGCTGAAATTTGTATTCGTCCAAAATTTTCTTACAGATTGCTACATATTTACGATTATGGAATGCTACAGTTTTATTAACCTTAGTAAGTAATCGAATGATATTGTTTTAGTTTGATACTAAATCTACTTATTTTTTTTATTATACTTATTTAGTTTATTTGAATTTCTTATTCATTATTCCTAGTCTTTTAATTATCTCTGAATTGCATTGAAAATTGATTGTAATCATAAATCGATCAACGTTAGATGACCACCATTAGAAACTTGAAAGCACTGGATGATCGTTTCGTGCTAGTATGAAGTGCATCCACGAGGCCCGCTCTTAGGGGTCGAGCCCAGGACCTTCGATCCGCGAGGTGACCTCAAAACTTTTAGACCAATATGCCTATATCCAACGGTGTTGATGTCTAAGTTTAATCGCGTGACCTCCTCCATTGTCTTTGGTGAGTATCAGCCTCACATGGGATATGATTAAAATCCGCTATTAACAGCTTCTCACTAGAACTCTGACAATTTCCTCACAAAGCTAACAATAGTGGTTTGCTGTTCACTTCATTAATATTAATTTGAACTGGTTCAATATTAGTGTCACACTAACTTAACCGTAGTTCTCAATCATAATGCACCCATCCGTGAAATATTCTATTTTTTGATATTGGCTGCCCCAAAGGAGTATATTAACCTTGTAGAGGCTCTCTACTTGAACACTAACTGTCGAGTCAAAACTTATACCAACCTGTCATCAGAATGGTTTACCTCGAGTAGTGTCTGTCACGACTATCCACTTTCACCATTCCTATTCAACTGTGTCATTGATATGCTTTTAGAGGCAACACTTGCATCGTTTGAATTTTCAAGGGTCAACTTTCTATTAGGAGATTCACTTGTTGACTTACAATATATAAATGATATATCCAAATGGACTGAGCCATGTTAATAGCTGTAAACTATCTGAGGGGTGTCTGCGAGACATTCGTAACTGATGGTTACAGAATTTGAGTCGTTTGCTGTGGCGCAGATGAATCACTCATTGTTTTCTCTGCAACTCTTATCCTCAACATTCCTTATGACCGTTTTTCCAAATTTTGTTCACTGCATCGAATCATATCTTCGATCATCAGTCTTTTTGGTTACTGTTACTCCTACCGCTATGGGTTTAGAACTGATAATTATATCTCTGCGTTCTAAAGTGGTGTAACAACTTGAGCTGATGTACATATGTACATATATTATGGTTTGTAATTGACTGTATACCAGCTACAAAAATAAAAGTTCCCCATATGGATACAAATTTTAAATCTTTCACTTTAGTTTACTTATCGTACTAATCAGCGTTTACTTCTAGACTTTTTAATTGTTTGTGTAATCTCTCGTTATTGATGCTTGGAATTGGAATTTTGATCAGTTCTTTGTTGCTGGATTTACTCAATTTAGCCTTTAGTTGTATGTCTTGGCATAAATTTAGAGTATCATTGTAATCACTCGACATTCTGCTGATGATTCTCAAATGAAGTGAAACATTCTTCCTTAGTTCCAGCCCTCATACCACATCAAATATACTACTACTTTTACAGTTGTTTAATTCCAGTAAGAAATTGATACATATATATTTTGAAAATCATTGATATCTGATGTTTTCACTTTTCAATTCATGAAATATTTAATCTGGAATAAAAATTTGACAGTGCGGTGTAAATTCGGATAGCCATCGTCCTACTCCAGAGGCCAAATTTCCGGGAATTGAAAAGTAAGTCTCGTTACTTAACTATCAAAGAATAGAGGTTTTTGTATAGAACAAATTCAGGCTCGTAAGACTGTACATAACTTCTCTCCTGTTTTCTCTACAAGTAATTCTCAGATGTTTTTTCTGTATCTTGAGTCCTCTGACCCATGTCACGCCCTTGAGTCACTATTCGGAATTCGAATGAGAATTTTTTTTCTGCCGTTTTGCGTCTAGATGACTCAGTAGTCTTTGTAGGAGTTATTGTCGGAAGTTGAAATATATCCAACAGTAAGTTAAGTGAGAGGCGTTTCGTAATTTCACCTTTTTTCAGCTTCCCTTGGCCTTAGTTGATTATGGTGCCTGGTCCAAATATCTCGGTTCACCCTGACATCATACATTACGTTCCCATGTTTCTTAGTGACTTCACCCTCTATCCATCTATCATATCCGTGTCTGTAGTCCCGCGCAAACACTTTCGCACCAACTTCATAAGGCATTCGAAGTCTTTGCTGGGCCAATCGCTTGGTGTCATCGCACTATGAACTGTTCGTGGCTTTCGTCCCATAAGCATCTCAGCAGGGGATTTGTAGTTTGGTAATAAGTCATGTGGGGTCGTCCGGTACACGAATATGAATTTTTCTATGATGTCGTATGTGGTCCCCTCCCCTCGTGTTTTAAACATGGCTCCTTTAAATGTGTCAACGAGCCTTTCGGCTTGTCCATTAGATTGCTGGTGATACGGCGGAGAACGGACATGGTTGATAGAATTTCGCAGGCAAAACTCTTGAAATTGACTGGATGTGAACTGCGAACCATTGTCTGTTACTATTGTTTCTGGAAGACCATGCTGACTGAAGATCTGCGTAAGGAGTTTGATGGTTCGAGTTGTAGAGGGTGGCGAAATCGGCAATATTTCCGGCCATCTGGAGAAAGAGTTAACCAGTATCACATATGTGGTACTACCAAGGGGTCCGGCGAAGTCAATGTGCACTCATGACCAGGGTTTTCTGACTTTGGCCAGGGTGCTGAAGGCTACTTGGGAGGATTTTTCGCAGCTGTTTGACACTGTGAACATCCTCTGTCGAAATCGACAATCTGCCTATCTATCTTTCGCTAATATGCATAGCTCCGAGCGATGGATTTCATATATATATATATATATATATATATATATATATATATATATATATATATATATATATATATACTCCTCTCGAAATGCTCTCATATGGTCATATATTTATCAGTACTGCCAGGGGTATCCTAGTTACTGCCTCTTCGTAACGGTAGGTATTGTTCAGGAAATTGAGAAAATGGGGAGCGAATATGTGGCACAAGATTAAACTAGGTTAGGTAGGTATGGAGGATCCACTTAGGGGAGTTGAAAAACCCTCATTCCAAACCAATGTTACACATGAGCTCCACGATCGTAATAGGACGATTGGGGTTTGAACCTACTGCCGGTTATCAGCGACCGTCGGGTTAGTAGTGCATGTCGAGCTCACAGGGCTTCGGATAATTTAACCAATTCATTCCACCCGAGTTATTATTCACGCGTTTTCCCACTTTGTCAACAATGCACTTTAATGACAGTTGTTTATATTCGAGTGTGTGTGTGTCGCTTACTTCACTCATCGCATATCTGGCTTATTTTTGTCTGACTATATAGCTTAGTTATGTCTGATAACATTGAGTTTGCGTAGACGACTTCACACCGTAGAAAATGAACTTGCTAAAACAAAACCCCAACTAGAATCTGATCAGCAACTTATGTTCTATTATAGGTTACAGGCGTAAAAGTAACTTATTTAGTACTTAATGATAGAATTTGAACAGACTGTAATTATAACGGTTATCCTGTAAATTAGTTTTGTTACAGATGAATTTCAATTTTGGGGATCATTGTAAACCACATAGAGAGAGAGGGGGAGAAACAAACACACTGATTTATCATTTCCTTCTATATTTTAATACAATTCTTCAACAGTGTTCATTTACTCATCTAAGAAAGTATCAAAAACCATGAAACGGTTGAGTTTTTTGTTGTGTAGTGTACATTAGTGTTTAGATTATTTTCATTAAAATTATTCAATGTACAATTTCAATAAATTTGATGTTATATAATTTGTTTTTAGAAAAAAATTTTTATTGATCAAATACTTGCATTGTTTTGTTTTGTAATGTTTAGATTTCAAGTAAATAGAAATATTCTTCATTATGAAATTGTATCATGGTATGTGACCAGCCTTTTGTTGTTGTTGTTGTTGTTGTATATTATTCTTGTTCACCTTATTTAAATTTAGTTGTGTAATATTGCTATGAGAAATACATTGTCCTAGATCTGAATGTTATAATGGTTACCAACTCCCTCCCCTAAACTGTTTCATTAATCGAGAAAGTAAGAATGTAAGAGATTACAGAGTTATCGAGAGTGTGTCTGCCGCCGTGTCCTAGCAGCGGGAAATAGTAAACGCTACACGTTGGATAGATGCCGTATCCATTCCAGATCAGCCGGCAAGAACAATGACCGAAGTAGTAATCCGGCATATTGTAGCGCGTCACGGAATACGGAAGGTGATATTAACTGACCAGGGTCCCTGTTTTGAAAGTGACGACAGCTTATTAAAAGGGGGGACGAGTGTGGTGCGAGCTACTTATAAGTAGTATATGACGTGAGTGTCAACGTAATGTCTGGCAGCAGAAGATGGGGGTAGATCAAGAAAGGAAGAGTTAGAACACAATGGAATTTGTATGAAACGCATGAATAGTGACAATGGATTGATGTTTTGCAACAGGAACAGTCCAGTTCGATATGATGAACTAATATTTTGCAAATTAACGATTTACGATATGGTTTTCTGATTTTACTGAGTAACTCTGTAATTTTCGTTAAATACAATCCGGTTGCCCCACCTCTGTTCTCGTTCACTACAAGAGTAGTTCACTTGACTGCCAAATAGTTATTACTAGTTTTCATATACACGTTCGTTTTCTTTAAGTAATGAGTCCATCTCTTGACCAATGATCTGCATTCTAAATGTTCAGCAGATGATGATGGCCTTCTCATTTAGCCACTTCTGATTGGCTCACTATATTAATTATTTCTTTTCTACATCATGTGTTTCATAAATTGAACAAACTAGCTAACTAATCTTTCCGATTTCAAAATTTTAATCACTGTAACAATGACATCAGTCAGAGTTAATCTGTTGTCGATGTTGTTGTTGTTGTGATTATTAGAGTAATCTATTTCAATTATCCTTTGCTTTTATGCTCACTGAATAGTTCGGACTTGTTTGGATTACCAACTTCACGGATTAATTAATCGCTGATACCAGTCAGTCAGTCAGTCATAAAGTAGAACATGGGATGTATGTATAACCGTTCAATTTGTCATACCACATTACCTCATAGAGATTGGAATTATCAATTCAAACTCCAAAGTAGTGCTGCAGGTAGCCGAAGTATCGGTGGTAATTCAAAAGATTAGGGTTTGAAGATATGATCCGAGTAGAGGAGGTATCATCATAAGTTCCTCTGATAATAAAAAGTCCATTCTTCTGTTTTAAATCATATCATGCAATGTCTGTTTCCGACCATTGATTTACAATAATCATTCATATTTCAACTTGATAATTTGCCCTGCATATCCCCAACTTTCAGGTGTATATAAGAAAGTGAAGTTGGTGTATTCATAGCACACTTAGAGAGAAATACAATATTGAATCTGTATCATTATATGGAGATTATTGTTTTTCATTGGAAATCATGAATCGATGATTGTTAGACCACCACTAGAGTTCAACCCTGTCTCGTGTAGACAGTTATTAATAAAAGACAATGGGTTGGGTTGTGAAATACTTCAGATTGATCAAAATTAGAAATTAACTGTGTTGGATGCTGCCGTCCGAGTGGTTCGGAGGTTAAGCATTCGCGCGTAGGTCGTGGTTGTGCGCACTGCTGATGGTTTCTATACCTAATGACCGAAACGGTCATTCATTACTCCTAGGAGATTCTATTGGTAGTTTAACAATGTTCAATTCATGATTTCACAAATGATAAATCATTTTCAATAATCTTAACTGAATAGTAGTACTTAAATAATTGTTACATTTTTGTTTCTCATCGGTATTATCGTACCATCTATAAAAAGTTTTATTGTCAATATTTTATCGGTGTTACGTTTTACAAAAAACTTTACAATGCATTGAGAAATGAGATTATTATTTTTTTCAAACCCATTCAACAGTCTATGATCTTTCTGTTTTTACATATATTTCTCAAATTTTTTACATCAATCAATCAATCATATAAACTTTGATCAAACGTCGTTGACTGAATACTATTTTGGATTTTGTTCCCTCCTTTAATTTGTTCAATCAGACTTATTGTGCCATTGTCTCTTGTTATTTGTATGTCTGCAGAGCAGTTTTATCGCTTAACGATTAAGCTGATTTGTTATTTCGTTCAATACGTCACAGAATCAAACAAACATTCAGTTACAACGTCATTATGATGAGTTTGTCTATTTACATGTGAAAAATAAATTGAAATTGCATCGAGGACGGTTCATTTTACTAAATGGCTATTTTCGGAATATGGAAACTTTAATAGAAATGATGAATGAAGCATTGTTAGACTACCATTGTAAACCTGAAAGCACCGAAAAAATCTTTGGTGGGTAACTGCCTACATCTAACAGGGTTGGACTCAACTAGTTACGGCTCGGAGAATTTCCTCATTATAGGAAAATACTACTGTCCAGTTCTTTTAGATTTCTAATGTTGCTGTATCAATAACCAGTTGGTTATTTCATTGAAACTCAACTGAATGAAAATCAGTGGAAACACTGAAAACATCACTCACTATATCTGACAGAATGACATCTTTGTCAACTTCGCCAACATGAACATCAAATAGCATTAAAACACCATGATATTTATTCCCTTATATCAATACATATGGGCAAATGTGGAAAGTTGAGAAAAATGTTGATATACTGGATAGAAGGAATGCAAAGAACCAGCAGAATTTCAGAAGCAATCAATAAGAACACATCGACATTGATCCAATCTACCAACCGATCAAAAATATCATAGACAAGAATGAGATAAAGAACTAAATCAAAGGACATAATAAAGCGATAAACAACGACAGATTAACAGTCAACAATAATCAATGAAGATCGAGATCAACATGACAAGCTACGACTAATACATGTAGAATTTTGAACACTTCACTTCTGCCTCAGGTTCGTGCTAACGATATGATGTTGAAGAATATTGAAAACCTACTCAACCAAGCTATGCAGCTCAGAGAGCACAACTCTACCATAATATTGAATACAAATAAGTTAGGAAATGTAAGAAATATCCTTTTAGTATTGGTATTTCAGAATTAGGATTGTCACATCTACTACCAGGACAAACTTACTCACTTCCATCTTGTGCAGTAGGACTGTAACGCAAGTCTTTTTCACTGCCTTCTTGTGCAGCGGGATTGTTGGTTACGATGTTAAGAAGACCATAAGCAAATATTCGTCTGAGGCTTAAACCAGGTCGGTGGGTACGGAGTTGAAGAACCTTGACTTTAAAACTAATGCTGCGCATGTGCTTCACGATTCTGTTAGGAACAATAGTGTTTCAACCTACTACTGATTTCCAGCAACCATGGGACTGCATCCCTCAAGGCTGCTCTACTTACTGCCTTGTGGATTAGATTTTGCAGATCAAAGTCTTGGATAGTGGTGAGCTAAGTAAATCATCTGCTTCTGTTTGGACGTTCGATCAGTATGTCAGCCCACTAACAAATTCAATAATTTGTTTGGCCAATAAATTTTTCGGTGTCTCCTTGTATCAATTTTTAGGCGTTTCAATAAATAATGAATAAATTAAACCGTCCGTTCATCTGACATAATGAATATTCTGTAATCTTTATACCGGAAGGTAAATGAATAGGAAACGAATCAAAATGAAAGTCATATCTTTGATCATGAAAATGGGAAGTTGAACAATATATTTGTGCATGAACGCTGCTGATTCCGAGCCACATCACGCCACATGTTTATTCACTGATCACTTTGACTGAAATCAAATATCTTTCACCTGTTAGTACATTAGAAGGATGTCGTGAACTTTACAGATTGGTCCAAATGCTTGTTTTACTCAGTGCTAGTTTTCTTCCGAGCTTACTCTTACACTAACCAGTATGCTGTATCTGCTTAGATGATCAGCTAGACATACGTACGGCATCTCGAGCACTTCACTAGATAGGGATTGACGGCTTCGTCAATGAAGAACCATTCGTTTGACTTTGAAACATACTTCATGCATCAGAGTCAGTAGTACTATAGTGGATACTACTCGTAGCTTGGGTTTTAATTAGTGTACAGCAGTGTCACGCAGAAATTACTATTGGAGAGACTAATGCCAGATCCGAATGTAAGGTGCTGTTTAAGTGTTTATAAGGTCGCAAGACAAGTGGAAGGAAAGAGCCAATGATCTACGGGTTCTACAAATGAAATTCTGCAGATAATTTATCAATACTTTGTTCAATAAAATACTAATATTCAGATACCCTTTACGAGGTAGATACGTTGAGTTTCTAACATCTGACCTGTTGGTTGAAAAAACCAAATTCTTTCACTAATAGATACTACTTCTAGATTTAAGCTATTCGAAGAATAAATTCGTTAAGTAATATAGTATGAAAGTGCCAAAGTTTTAGAGATTAGATCCTTCCAATGAACATATCGTTTCTTCAACTTCGAACAAAACATATTCTATTCTTCGCACTAATAAGATTTAAATCTCCGTACTGCTATATATCACTGTCTATTGATGGAACATGTTTTTTACTTTCTCTACTGATATTCTTCAGTCGCCTTATCAAAACTGACATGGAGTTGGATGTGTTGCGTTACACAAATCGTATCAGTAGTGCTGCACATCGTCACTTAATGCGTTCAATCAAACCGGGAATGTATCAATATCAGGCAGAAAGTATTTTCAAACATTATTGTTATTTTCATGGTGGCATGCGTCATATGAGTTATACATGTATTGCAGCTACGTGAGTGATTGATTTCGTTGACTATTTTGTGTTTATTAAACAAGAAAGTTAGTGTTATACTTACAGCGATTAATCATTGATTAAAAATCTGTTTGTTCTATTTGTCTAGTCCTGAGTGTTGGTTGAATCCTGTCGAATAAAATGGATATGTGTCTACTAGTCATTCAGGTATCTCGATATCGTGTTAGTGACAACATAGAACTTGGCATGCACATACGTCAGTTAAAGTTGCCACACTACATCACTACTGATAGACATGCCATTTTAAATCCCATAGTACTAGAGGTAATGGAGTTATTAGCAGTAGTGGAAAAGATTAGGGTTCAAAGATATTATTCCAGAAGCATAATCCAGTGAATGAATGAGCTGTCATTCGAAGTCTCTAGCCTTCGGTTATTATTGTCTTGCGGACCTCAACCAAGTAGTCTATGTCTACTATCATGGCCCGGTCCAACTGTGGATGACTTCATAGATTTATGCGATGTAGTTGTTTCACTGCTACTAGCCTTCGTCCAGACTACTCCTACCCTAGACAGCATCACTCGTCCACATGGTCGGTGATTAGGCGTTTCCCAAACTCCTCACGTGATGAATTTTCAATATTTAATCTAACGTACTTACCGAATACCCTAACCTCAGCACTACGTACTCGACGGTCACAGGACATGTGACCAACCGCACTCGAATACTAGTACCCTAGGTTTATTCTATCAGCCTCTTCATCAAACAGATCTACATCATAGGCGTATTCTAAGTCAACAAGCAAGTCGGTGACGAAGTTGAATAAGAAGGATGAGGGTGGACAACCATGACGAACACCAGTTGAAGTAATCTATTCCGATGAGATCCCGCTATAAGCTCTGACCTGACCAGTTGTGTACGAGTAGGGAGCCTGAACAAGGTAAATTTATCTCTGGTACACATTTCAATGACACACGCAGCCATCTAACCTCACGATAAGAAGAGTCAGGTACCGCCTTAAGGTCGAGAAATACAACTACTGTTAGACTCCTGAATGACTATGTTCTAGGATCTGACCAGTGTGAATATCTGGTCCATACAGCCATGTCCATGTCTTAAACCACTCTGGATTTCTCCAGTGTGCTCTTCACGTGCACCAGTTAGGCATCAAAGTATCATTGATGTCAATATGTTAGACACTGTATTAGGCTAACTGATTCCTCAGTGATTGTCACAGGAGGATTATTGTCCTTTCTGGAACAACCGGTGGATGAGAACTGTTCGATTAAATTTCATCCAATTCTCAGATTCTAGCTAAAATCCCAGTCAATGTAACTTCTAAAACTGGACCGCCATCCTTAAAAAAGTTTTACGATTTATTCTATCAGAGTCTGCTGTTGTAACTCACCTTAGATTGCTTAATCTTTTCAACAAGAGTTAGAGGACCTACATCAACTTGCCAAGCAGGTTGACTGGAAATCCTGGGCAACTGAACTATGGTGAAGGCCAGTCGAAATTATCTTTAAGTCTTTAGCCGATCGATCCAATCGCGCGCGGATTGAGAATAAATGAGTTGCCTGTCTTTTTTCGAGATAGTCTCACAAACATTGTGTGATGTGTTTCTTGGAAAGAGAAATGGTAGGATCCTCCTATCTTATTGAGAAGCCAACATTAATGGATCATTTACATTATTAAGCGCTCAACGTTTTCATGATACATGAAACACTGAAATATTGAAAAGATCCAACTTAGCACATAATGAATATGGTTTGTCCACGTGGTTGTAAGCACTCTAGGTACAGAATGTTCAGTGTGAAGCGATCACGGTGGAAAATATGAGAATCTTCAAAAATTTTGATAGAACAGTGAGAAGACGTAATTGATCGGAAAACTATTGTGATGTATTGGCGCCATAAATTTCGAACAATCTGGTTACACACATATTTACTTGTCAAGGCATTTTATATGAAGATGAATAAAAGGTCAATTAAATAAAAGTTCAAATAGACATAAGGTGATAATTGTAAATAAAGGAGAGAGAAAATTAACGTAATATGAAAAGAATAAGAAAGGGTAGGAACATTGTCACACTACCCTAGGCTTAAAGATTACCAAGGTAAATTTAAGGAGGGTTTTAATTTTCTAATAGCCAAGGCCTCCATAAAGCTCGAAATTCGTCCTTCAACATTTCTATACAATGTTTTGAAGGCTGTCTTGATGTCAATCTTATGCCCTGTCTCAATTATGTGTTTTGCGATCGATGAACGCTATTCGGCTCATCTGACATTAACTGATTTTGAAGCCACTTTGGTACATATTTCATAACCCTTGATTGCAAAAGGAGTTTAAATGGACTATGCTGAAAATTTGTGGAATGAGCACACCAATAAGCTTACTTTTTATAGGAGATATATGGACGATATTTTAATTATATGTGATAAAGAACTCAACGTCTCTCAGTTACTGGACAACTTCAATAGCCTTCAGAATGACATTGTACCAACTCATGAACCGGAAAATAATAATTGATTACCTTTTTTAGACATACTGTTGAGTCTAAGAGAGAGTGGAATTATAAAGCGTTCTGTTTATAGAAAACCAACGTGGACCGAACAGTATCTAAATTTTAGGAGTTTTTGTCCACTGCAAAATAAGCGAGGTTTAGTAAAATGCCTCTTCGACATCACTCAAAAGATTTGCACCACGGATACATTTGACGACGATGCAAAATTCTTAACTGAAGCTATCCGCTAAAGTTCATCAATAGGTGTAGAAATCAGTGTAATGCCTTGTTTATCTACACACAATTTCAGCCCATTTTTCATCTCACTATCTGACCGTACATGTTTGCTTCGCCTTCTGCTTTCACTGATTCTTGTTTCTTCATCATAAGTTTTGGACTTCATCTTTCTCTGTTTACTTATCAACTGTTGCTTTTGCTATCCTGTACTCTATATTTGGATGTAAGATGGTTGCTACAATGCTGTTAACCATTGTCAACTAGCATATTACTTTCTATCATTTACATCCTACCAAACATTATGGTAGTATTTTTCGAGACGTTTGATACTACTAACTACGGCTTTGAGTAGTTAAAACGTTTTGAGCGTAAACATTTTCATTTATCAGTTCAGCGAAAAATTTGTTTGTAAAGCAGCTAATCTATAGTATCATGCAGACACAAATTTCTTGTTTTGAATATTTTTATGCTTGTAAACTATAATAAGCAGTGCTACACCATAGTTAATAATCTCGTTTATAAAAACGATTACTTTTTTTTATAGAGGATGTGATTGTTCTGTACTTCATTATGGTCATGCAGGAGCACCGAATGAACATCAAATTATGGATGGTGAAATGTGTTTATTTGATATGGGTGGTGAATATTATTGTTATTCTTCCGATATTACTTGTTCATTTCCTGTTAATGGTCGATTTACTGATGATCAGAAATTAATTTACAATGCTGTTCTATGTGCATCACGGTAATTGCAAATTGTTTTTGTTTAGTATAAATTACTTAGTTTTAACCGAATAATAATTGACTTCTGAAAATAGTTTTCCTTTGATTGACGTAAAATTGGTGCGAACTGAGAGATGGAGAGGTAGATTCTTCTGTTGTACATACACAATCATGACACCAAGAAAATCGTTCAGAACACAATAATTCATGTGTACACAAATTCTGCTGGTTTATGGGATATAACTAACACTGAACAGTAAATGTGATTACAAGCATAAATAGATAGTGATCAGCATTGGAATATATATACGACGTGCGTTTCTTCCTCTTTGCGACCGGTAAGCTATATATGTAGTGTGTGCTACTTATACGAAAGATATAAGTAGTATAAGAATGGACGTGAAAGAAGAACTCTCACGGTCTCTAGAGGAAAACGGAAAGCAAATGGAGCAAAAGCAAGAAGTAAATGGAGTACCAACAGGAAGTAAAGGAAGCAACAGCAGGAATGGAAGAAGGCTGGAGCGTTGGAAGTCAGGACTCAAAGATGGTGTGCAAATAGAGTGTTCAATGTAATGTTTTTGTTTTTAATTGACTAAGAGTGTAAATTTGCTAAATACAATCTATCTACCGAGCCTGCCTCAGTCTTCTCATATATACCTGCAGCTCTTTGCGCCCCGTAACATTCATTTCAAACGTAATCGCTCTATCTAGTTTGCTACTGGGTCTAGATTGCAACAGGTTTGTGCAGTAGGGTGATGCGGCGGGTGCATTCAGCTAACGGGTCGCAAACGGAAAAAATTGCGCGTCCTGTATTCTGCTGCTAACCCACTACCCATTTGTCTGCTTATAGCTATTTTATCTCAATTAGTTACTGAATATTAATAATTTTATCATTTTTTTCTTTCAAAATCACATTTTCAGTGCTGTTTTAAATGAAATTAAACCAGGTGAAGATTGGGTTAAACTTCATCAATTAGCAGAACAAGAAATTTTGATTCATTTAAAGAATGGTGGTCTACTTCTTGGCAATATTGACGAAATGATGGAATCAAGATTAGGCGCTATATTTATGCCACATGGATTAGGTCATTTACTTGGATGTGATGTACATGATGTTGGCGGCTATTTAAATGTAAGGATGTTAAATGTTAGCGATAATTCATAATATTTTCACAATGTTCAATATTGAATGTGTTTTAATCTAGCGGGATAATGATCGCCTACACAAACTGACGCAGCTGGTTTTCTTAGAGCGCCACTTCCACAGGCTTTGACCTACATTTGGAGCAACCTTAGAAGATGTATTCTCATAGAAGTAGGCTCCATACGCCTTTCATTGTGTCACTTTGGTCGAGCCGATTTAAACGATTGTTTTGAGACGAAAGTTTCACTATAATTTCTGTGAGTGAAGTCTTTGCACATCAATCCGGTTTAGGCCTCTATGGAATAAACTCTTTTCGTTCTCTCAATCCGATGCTGGCTGGTTACAAATAGTAGTAGCTCCAAGTGCTATCTATTCTAACAGGATAGCAAAGCTGGTAGGCAACATTCCTAAACTAACGGAAATGTTTTTGGCCTCTGTCGAATATTCACTTATCGACTTCTCAATTCCATAAACAGCAGTATTACTGCACAAGGAAACATTGATTGGTTCTTTATGTTAACGAGACTCATCAATCACCTCTTGGACATAGGACGACATTTCTCGTTTTTATTTACGAGTTGGATTCTTTTCCACTATAGTAATCATACATTACTTACTATAAACTAGTGATAGGGAGTGAAGTAGTCGAACGTGTAGACCGCTTCACTTATCTCGGGAGTCTCATCAGTGCCGATGGCCTGGTGACTGACGAAATCTCAGCACGGATACAGAAGGCTCGATTGGCTTTTGCCAACCTGCGTCACTTATGGCGTAGGCGAGATATCTGTTTGCTGACTAAAGGACGAGTGTACTGTGCAGTGGTTCGCTCCGTCTTACTTTATGGCTGTGAAACATGGCCGGTGAGAGTAGAAGATATTCGTAGGTTACTGGTTTTCGATCATAGGTGTCTTCGAAGCATTGCTCGTATATCGTGGGACACCCGAGTGAGCAACGCTGTTATTAGGAATCGGGTGCTAGGTAAGAATGGCAGATCAATCGATGAAGTGGTGAAACTTCATCAGTTGAGGTGGTTGGGACATGTGTTGCGTATGCCCAACCACCGACTGCCTCGTCGAGCCTTGTTTTGTAGTGTAGGAGTAGGTTGGAAGAAAGCTAGGGGCGGCCAAACCAAAACATGGCAGAAATCCATGAAGTCATTGACTAGTGGACTGAGTCAGGTCGGTAGTTGTCGACTACCTGGTTGGGGTCCGCGAGATGATAATAATCGATGGTTAGAGACCTTGAATGACATGGCTCAAAATCGTTCGCAATGGCGCCGGTGCATTTATTCTCTGTGTTCTCTCAAATGCTAATCTTCTGGATTCTTCAACCCCTCTAGTTTCGACTCTCTAAACTTTTCTCACTGAATCATACTTCTTGAATAGTATCTTCTAATCCTAACCTCTCCGATTACTTCTAATTCCCTTACTACCTCTTCTACTATTGGATTTGAATTGACGATTACTTCTCTGTGCTGATGTGGTATGGCAACATGAACTGATGTACTTATGTACAAAGTTCTACGTTGCGTCTGACTGACTGACTTACTATAAACTTTAATTGTGTCTTTCTTTTTGGTTTTAGGATACACCAACACGAAGTACATTGCCTGGTTTAAAAAATCTACGTACTGCTCGTCTACTGCAAGCCAACATGGTAATGACAGTTGAGCCAGGATGTTATTTTATTGAAAAATTATTAAATCAAGCTTTATCATCAGAGATACTTAGTAAATTTATCAATAGAAAAGAAATTGAAAGATTTAGAAACTTTGGTGGCGTAAGTTATTCACTGAGAAATGTGTGTGTTCTGTTTTTGTGTTCATTTCGATTAAAAGTAATCATAATTACTTAAACAATCCCGTCTAATAAGTATATAAATTTTGATCATAAATATATTCATTTCACAACATTCAAAACAGGACAATCTTATCTCACTGCAAAAATGTTCGCCAGTATAGTATGCAGGGTAGTATATTTGCTTGTTTAATCATTTACTAGTGATTATCAGCATAGAATTGTGCAGAATGTAGAGTTTCATTGAAATCATGAACCGGTCCATGTTAGACTACCATTAGAAACCTGGAACCACTGGATGGCCGTTTCATTTCATTTTAGGACTCATCAGCAGTGTGACTCCACGACTCCGAACATGAATCTAACCGGGGGGGACGTCTGTCTGACGCGTGAATGCCTAACATGTGAACCACTGAACCAAAATCCAAAAGTCAGTATTATCTAACTTCAATTCATTTACAAAATTATGCGACCAAATTTTGTTGCCTTCGGTTGGTAACAATCTCTCAACTGACACGGTCGGCCTCCAATGGCTATCACTTTTTCTCTCTCTCATTTTCTATCAAATAAGACCTAATGTTGTTTGCTAATGCCTTTTTAACTAATGTTAACAACAAGAATACTGAGATTGATAAAAAGGTTACAAGGATAGAAGAGGCGACAGTATTGTTGACCACTTCATAACTTCCAGTAGGCTGAGTGCTTGTTCACATTTCGTTTCATTATCATCTATTTTATATGTATACTCGATTAGTTAAATGTTTCCGTTTTCGTAACTCTCTTCGGATTGCGATTTGAGGCGGTCAGTTTGGCAAGCAATTATTAGTGCTACCATACAACTTCATGGTATTAACAACATCGCCAGTCTACACATCATGATAGTCGACTGTCATCAGTATATCCTCTGAAATACAAACATACGTCATCTAGTTTTTGGCTGAAATTTCGTGATCAAGGTAAAATATTTCTTCAGCATATTGGGATTCCTATGATAGTCAATGGTCAATGTGAATTTCCGCTTAGTTAGAGTTTTCTAATGCCTCATACCTACCAGGTGCATTCTTTCGCTTCTTCTAAAAACATCATTTATTGTTCAATAAAAGTAGTGAATATTTACGACAGAGAGTTGATATGATGTGTAGCTTCGTGAGATACATTTCATTTTCTACCAAACTTCGTAACTATCGTTTCTTTGATCACTTAGTCAACTACAACGTAGAAGTGTTTCCTTGGTACAATGTTCTACAAGAATTATCTCTTGTTTAAAATTATTTTTTAAATATCTTGTATTTTCAAAATCGCATATTATGATTCTACATACTTTTCTCGTTTAACTTTTATAGGTAAGAATTGAAGACAACATCATTGTCACTGAAACCGGTCATGAACTATTAACAGATGTTCCAAGAACTGTCGAAGAAATCGAAGCATGGATGTCTTCTTCTAAATCAGAATAAATAATCTGTTTTATGTATTAGTGTGTAATTTCTATTGTAATGAAAAAAGGTAGTTGCAATCGACGAATGCATAATAAATGAACCGGAATAACTCAAGGTCAAATTGTTTTCTAAATGAAAATTTAATTCATCCATATGGAGATTTGATTTAAATAAAATGATTTGTATCTTCTGATAAAGTTCATTTTTCATATTTTAAATTTTAATCATTGAACGAACGATATTTGATGATTATCAAGTAGAATATAGTCAGTAAAATAGAATGATAATAAATAAACTTATTCAAGCCAACATTGCCTAATAATTCATCCTCAGAATAAAAGTAGTATTCAAAAAACGAACTATCGGTTTCGTAAGTGTCCAGTCAGTCAGTCAGTCAGTTGCAACGTGGAACTTCGTACGTATGTACATAAGTTCATGTTGCCATACCACAGCACAGAGACGCAAATGTCAAATTAAATCCCATAGTGATAAAGATAGTAGAGGTATTAATGTTAATAAAGAAGACTAGGGTTCGAAGATATTATTCAAGAAATATAATTCAGTGAGATAAGGTTAGAAAGACAAAGGTAGAGGTGCTAACCAATCCAGAAGATTAGGATTTGAGAGAGCTCAAAGAGTGGATGCACCTGCGCCATTGCAAACGATTTTGAGCCATGTCGTTCAAGGTCTCTAACCATTGGTAACTTTCGTCTCGCGGACCCCAATCAGGTAGTCTACATCTACCAACATGACTCAGTCCACTTGTCAGTGACTTCATGCACTTCTGCCATGTTTTGGTCTGGCCACCCCTAACTTTCTTCCAACCTACTCCTACACCACAAAACATAGCTCGTCGAGGCAGTCGGTGGTTAGGCATACGTAACACATGTCCCAACCACCTCAACTGATGAAGTTTCACCACTTCATCGATTGATCTGCCATCCTTACCTAGTACTCGTTTCCTAACGACAGCATTGCTTACTCGGCTGTCCCACGATATACGAGCAATGCTTCTTAAACATCTATGATCGAATACTAGTAACCTACGAACATCTTCTTCTCTTAACGGCCATGTTTCACAGCCATATAGGAGAACGGAACGAACTGCTGCGCAGTACACCCGCCCTTTGGTTAGCGAACGGATATCTCGCCTACGCCATAAGTGACGCAGGTTGGCAAAAGCCAATCGAGCCTTCTGTATCCGAGCTGAGATTTCGTCAGTCACCAGGCCGTCAGCACTGGTGAGACTCCCCAGATAAGTGAAGTGATCAAACGCTCGACTACTTCACTCCCTATCACTAGTTCAGGTGCCGATGCAACCCAGTCTTGAAGCAACATTTTGCATTTCGAGGGGGAAAACCGCATCCCTAACATGCTTGCATTGTTGCTTATGGTAGTCAGAAGACTCTGCATTTTGTCAGCGTCTTCACCGAATAGAACTATGTCATCGGCGTATACTAGATCAGTAAGCGACTTTCCTGGTAGAAGGTCAACCCCTGAAAAATCTGACGAGCTTAATGTTAACTCTAAGAGGATGTCAACGACAACGTTAAACAAGAATGGAGAGGGTGGACATCCCTGACGGACACCACTTGATGTAGAGAATTCAGATGACAGTTCGCCATATGCTCTCACCCGACCAGTGGTGTTCGAGTAGAGTGCTTGTATGAGGTTAATGTACTTTTTTGGTACACCTTTCAATGACAGTTCGTAAGTGTCCATTCTGTTGTGATGTATTCACAAACATTGACACTACTACTATAATTTTGATAGTAGTATAAATAGAATTGAAGGAATGGTGTGTAACCTAATAAAATTGATGAATTTAAAAACCCATTAACCTAAAATATGTGTGAATGTGACATCGATTATGGGTTAAATATAAATTTGGATATTACTTCAAGTACAAAGCGATTCAAAAAGCAAGTTTACTGTCTATAATCTATACAAATTTAAAATGTAAAATGTACCACCAACATTGTGTTCCAATTTCAATTTCAACCGTCACTTAACTAATTGAACAAACTATACACAAAACTGGTTTCTGTAATAAGCATAAAAACTAAGAGGCTAACACAATTTTAAACTTAATTGAAAGAGTGGAGTTGATGTTGTAATGTCAGAAATTCATTTCAAATGGAGTAACAAAAGAAAAAAATGCAGCATCAGAAAACTGATTTGGTAAATGTCCATTGCCACACTAGGTCGTAACTCTGTGAAACATATTTCGATCACCGAAATATACATAAACCTAGTATTCACTACTTCAAACTCTCATGCAGCCAGTGAGTCCTAGATTTGACCGTCAACTACAACCTCAAAGAGGAAAACAATCAGAATTAATCAAACCGTATAACTAAATGGTCCTAACTATCAGAGTCACATACACGTTCTACTTCACATCAAGTCTTGTTCCCTTACTCAATGAAGGTTTGGGACAATTGGATTAGAGGAGCCTGTCACATCACCGGATCCTCGATCTCGTTTTCCGACTAAAGTAAACTTGTAATAGTTCAAATGACGTGTTTGTGTTTAATCATACTTCTTGAATAATATCTTCTAATCCTAACCTCTCCGATTACTCCTAATACCTTTACTACCTCTTCTACTATTGGATTTGAATTGACAATTACATCTCTGTGCTGATGTGGTATGGCGACATGAACTGATGTACTTACGTACGAAGTTCTACGTTGCATCTGACTGACTTTAATCAATAATTATTGTTCATTCTTATTTGATTCATACTCGATTGGTCACTTTTACACACCTCTACTTATTTTAGTATAAAATGTCGTTGCAAGTACAGGTAAATTGAACTTCCAGTCAACAATTATTTACGGCATTTCACACTGCAAACTTTTGTATGCAAACGATATTGGCAGCCTGCTTGAATATCTCGATAACCTTTTCCAGAATTTACCTCTTTTTGCTTGTGTATTTTAACCCGTCAATTACCCCCCTATCAATCACATAATCTATTCAGTCCAGTTATATAAAATGTCTGCTAACTATCACATGACTATGTTAAGACATTTGCTTTTACCATGTCAGGAATGCTTTTCAGTCACATTTATCTAAAAAGTTAAGAATTTTTGCAGGCTATTGCTTCATACTGTTGGGATAGCCAATCGAGAAGAAAGCCACGCACATTGTGGATTGATGAACTATTTGATTAATGTTCCTGATGAATGTTCAAAATATTTAACGACATTTATATAATTGTATAAATACGCATGTTTGATTGTATATTTTTGATTCTGATAATAAGTGTTCTCCAACGTCTTCCGTCTTCTTATTTTTGAACGGAGGGGTCTAACGTTCGGTGTGTCATTAGTACAGTGGTTTGGCGTTACATCAAGTACAAAACATAAAACATACAATATGAGGAAGCACAATCTGAAACATTGCGGATACCGGAAATCCGCTGAATGAAGAAGAAGCGTTATTACGATGTTGATTTCTCTGAACTGCTTACTTTTAACTGCTAATCAATCACTCATTTACTTGTATAATAATCGTTTTTGGAAAATTCCGTGCTGAGATTTCCATTTTCTATCAAACCATATAATACTGGTTAAAGCTAATATCATCATAGCCTGTTTACTTTTTTGTTTTAGTGAGTGCCATTACCTTTCAATAAATCCAGACTTATTCAACTACTTGTACGAACACAAAACCTACAATGAGATAATTCAGTGTATTAGTAGTGAGTGTTGTAAAACAACAAAAGAAAATAACAATCAATTCCTATGGACATACACGTTTCGATTGACATCTCCATTTAATATTGTTGAAATTAGTGTCGGTTCTGTTATCTCACTTCTATTGAGAAGACTGAGGCAGGCGCTGAAGATTGTATCATGCAAATTTACACTCTTAGTCAATTAAAAACGACAACATTACATTGAATACTCTATTTGCACACCATCTTTGAGTCGCGACTTCCAACGCTCCATCCTTCTTCCATTGCTGCTGTTGCTTGCTTTACTTCTGATAAGTTCGTCACTTAGTATGCTTGAGGCTATTACGAGTTTACCTTAGTCGATAAACGCGAACGAGACAATAAACCAGCGTCCAGGTAGGCTACCTTGAATCCGAGGCTGAAGTGAAAAGGCTTTGTAAGCGTAGAAAGTATATTCTACAAGCACACAGTACAATCAAGCATACAACTCTCGTTTATTTATACAACATAGGAACGTCCTTGAGATAGTTAAGAAAATAGCACACTGAAATACACAGCAGCCAATCACAGCCATGGATTTTCCTGGTGGGAATTGAAATCTCAAGGTCAACTGATCAGCCCATGCTGGCAAACGTGAAAACCAAAATAAGGCATTTATCAAGCGAATTTTGGGTATCTAACATCCCCAACAACTTCCTGTTGGTACTCCAGTTACTTCTTGCTTTTGCTCCATTTACTTTCGGTTTTCCTCTTCTGACCGTGAGAGTTCTTCTTTCACGTCCCTTCTTATACACCAATTGTAATTAGTTAGTGTGATAACTTCAAAACTAACTTTGTGTTTTGCTTGCGTTCAATGTGCCAATATTGGTAATTTACTCATTTTGTAATTAATTAGCTTTTCATTCTAAAACAGAATCTTATTAGTACACTTTCACTTTTTTAATTAGTATAGATAATTAAATTTTCTATTTTGAAATACCTATCTTATAACCATTGTCATAATTGCACATATTTTAAGGTTAATGGATTTTTAAGGTCAACAAGTTTATTCAGTTTTATACCATTCACGTAGAGGAACGCTTTTTTACAGTGTTATTTCGTACTATTAATATATATAATATCGTCTCTAGTCCATGGTCCAACATTGATCAACACCCCCAATTTCAAAAAGTAATTGAACAATCTTTGCAATTCTATAATGTGCACATACTTTAAATGTATGGAAATCCTTATCACATTCAAAGACAAAAAATGTAGGAACGAGGATCTAGCAATGACGGTGGAAAAGGCTGCAAGAGAAGGAAACATGAAACAATTGTAGAATAAAACAAAGAAGCTCGCTGGAAACCATCGTTAACCAGAACGATCAGTGAAAAGCAAAGAAGGCAAAGTAATCAGCAACACTGAAAAACAGATTAAAAGTCGGGTAGAGCATTTTAAAGAACCGCTGAACCCACAATATCTTGAACTGCAAACAACTATCAATCAACACTAAAATCAGAAGTTTCAATGGAAATGTCAAGAAAGTCCTAATGTATAGGGTGGGAACTTAAAAAACCACAACAGCCATCACCTAGAAGATACAAGTATTCATTACCAGTTATCCACACCTAATACTTCGGATTCGCTGACCAGACAACATCAGCAAAAAACTACTTGGAACAAACCAGTTGCCAGCCGCATTGGTACCACAATGGAATGAGAAATAACAACGTAATAGGTTGAGTAGTAAATCAGGTGAAAAACTGTCAGTTAGCTGACAGTACATGCAAGCATGAAATTCTCGTTGGTGTGGATAGTCCAGTACTATTTGATAATGAACGCTCATCTCCTGTAATTGAAACCACTTTGTATATGCTGTAATAGTGCATAGCTAGTTACTTGATTAGAGTTAGAATGTAGTCTGTGTGCTCTGGTGAATTTTTTATTCCAACCCCCCTGCGTAAACGGAATGGAATCTTTGTTAAACATCACACCATATATGTAGGCCATTTCACGGTGCAATTGAATAAAGTATGCTGTGATAATTAACAGTAGCAATAGAAGTATGATAGTTCTAATGAACTTTTAAATTCCATACCAAATTCAAGTTTACGCAGTAGGGGTGATGCTGGTGACTTCAGTGAATCTGAGGTTTTGCACTTGATCTATTCACCAGTATATATCATGGCTGTTGTACAGCTTACAGTCAGTATTCAATAAACATACACCATACTTCACGATTATCAGGTCATGCAATGTGTGCAATATCAAATGTGAATGAATGGCCTCGCTGATGTCATTGAGGCGGTTCGAATTGTCACGTCGTATGTATTCAGCCAAATCACCACACACCGCATATTATTCATGAACATACCATGACACATGTGACTGATGATCTGACGTGTGTCGTCTATTTCCATATTGAGCGAGCAGTGAGTGAGTGACCAAGACAGTTGCCAGCACGGTTCAGCTTCAGTCGGTAAATATTCTCTCAATGATTGTCAAATGAATGCTGAGGAGTTTTCCCCGTAACAGGTCATTTATTACTCGAAAGTTTGCAGTCGAACAGCTCACATCATTGAGACTTCTCTTTTAGATTATGGACAGCCAATCTCACACACACTGTCGGTTATCTTCGGCTGAATGTTTCCACACTATATCGACTTATTCGACTTGTCTTCATTTTGAATCACTGTTTGTTTGCAAGCAACTATGTCATCATGTAGGGAACGAGAACGTATGTGGGGCAACCGTATTGTATTAAACGTGAATTACAGAGTTACTCAGTAAAATCGGAAAACCATATCGTAAATCATTCATTTGCAAAATATCAGTTCATCATATCGAACTGGACTGTTCCTGTTGCAAAACATCAATCCATTGTCACCATTCATGCGTTTCACACAAATCCCATTGTTTTCTAACTCTTCCTTTCTTGATCTTCCCCCCGTCTTCTGCTGCCAGACATTACGTTGACGCTCACGTCATATACTACTTATAAGTAGCTCACACCGCAAACCTATGTCATTAGATTTACTCTTGTGCGACCTTTCCTAATACTGTTACTATTTTTTTATTTCGTTTTTCCTTTTTTTTGTATATCAGTGTTATTCTGCTACTGTTTCCCCCTCGTACTTCATTTTTAAGTGTATAAACATATAATTTGATTTTATTCCATCAATATATCATTCTATTATCAAACAGTTGAATTCAATGTTCTTAGTTTTCAACTTATTGAAACTGTAGACGAATGCGAATTGCAATATCAGAGGTTATAGTAAAATATTGGTTTTGAGATAAGTGACTACACTCGTGATTGTTTGGTAGTGAGATAAAACATCATCTTTGGCTTTATTTTCTCTCAGTAACAAGAACATTGCCGTTTACATTAAATTTTCTACCAACTTTTCTAAGGCTCACTAATATTTTTCACTTCAATCGGGTCGGTCTGAAATGTCATGCAACTAGTATGCTTACTATTAAATGAATTAGGCTGCATTAATCATGTGCTACTAACCAGAATGTTTTCAGAACTTCAGTATTCAGTGTACACCGAAATGTCTGTTCATCTAATGATATTTGTGATTACAAAGCGTTGGTTTTGCATTTTATTCACTATCTAAACACCACTGTATCACAGCACGTACAGTCAGTCAACTTAAACAAAACCTATTGGTGAATTGTTAAAAATCAATTGTAGTTTTTGAAATACGCGGCCAACAACGTACGCGAAAGAATATCGATTTCATATAAAAATGCTCATAGTTTTGTAGGTGTTCAATCCAAATCGTGTAAATGCTAATTTTCATATTCTACTGTCCATTGATTTTTTTTGTGGACGTTTATATCAGTGGAGTTCGAACTATTGTCAGTTATGCTGAAAAAATAATTCAGTCCATTTAGAATCATACTAATTTCTTCTTTAATCTGATGAAAAAGACTCGCATAATGACCACAGATGACCATTCGAAAGTCACTCTTCTGTCTCAATTGACATAATGTGTATTACTTGAAGTTTCACTGCTTTTCGTTATCAAATAATATAACTCATTTTAAAGTGTTTTACTTGGCGTTCAGTAATCTTCTCCAATATGATATACATCATCAAAATTTCGACACTATGATTTCAGCACTTGCTGACAGATATTTTACACTACTGACACTAATGTTATCATTTGATACAATTTCAACTCACAACGGTAAGCGCACTCATTAGTCGAAACAGAAACAGGAAGAGAGTAAATTACACAAATTTATTATTCAGGTACATGATAAAAATCGCACTGAATTCATTCTAATTTGCGCAGATAGAAATCAGAAACACTTGAATGAAAAGCACTATAAGCTATGTTAGATATTTCGATAGAATATATTCTGAATAACTTTTGATGTCAGCACTTATTAAACTTCATCTACCTGTTTTACAGGATATCATAAATTTATCAAATTACTTAGATTGGTAAACGCTGTGGATGTATTCCCTGTTGAGAGCCGAGATCTGAGTATATATCGGAAACCATCTTAAACCAGAACGATCAGTGAAAAGCAAGGAAGGCAAAGTAATCAGCAACACTGAAGAACCCACCCACCATCGAAGCAGCATCCACGGACCTCCCATTTAATATTGGCGCACCTACGATTGAGGAGATCAGCATGGCCATCAGACAAATCAAGAGCAGCAAAGCAGCAGGACCAGACAACATTCCAGCAGAGGCAATAAAAGCAGATGTGGAGGCAACTGCGAAAATATTTCACATCCTCTTCAAGAAGATTTGGGATGAGGAACAAGTACCATCAGATTGGAAAGAAGGATACCTGATCAAAATACCAAAGAAAGGCGATCTCATCAGGTGTGAGAGAACTACAGGGGCATCACTCTTCTTTCAATACCAGGCAAAGTCTTCAACAGGGTATTGTTAAACAGAATGAAGGACTTCGTAGACGCCCAACTTTGAGATCAACAGGCGGCTTATGCTCCATCGGCGGTAACAGGCATAAGTAATTAAGTAGTTCAGCTATCAAGATCATTTAAATCCTACCTTGTATCAAATGGTTTATACTTCTCAGACTAACCAACAACTGAGATAACAATCAGAACATACTGTTTGAACTGATGTAAGAGTTGATAGAAATAATGAAATACTAAGTTCAAGGTGACTTCTTTTAGCAGCAAATAAAACCAAAGATTGTATGTGCGACTGAATTAGTTTAGCAATTATTAAGTACCTGGACTAATACATATTTTACTGTGTATACTACAAGAACAATAACCAGTAATAATGACAGTGATATGACTATAATAATATAAAACAGTAGCACCCCTACTAGTATTAGTTTACTATTACTGGTTGCCTATAACCTAAGTCATAAAATTTTTAACGCTTATCGGTTCATTTATTTACACCAAGGTATTTATGGACATACACAACTAACTGTTCAGCAACTATATAAAATCAAGAATTAAAAACCAGTTTTCAATTAATTAATTAATTCACTAAAATGAGGATGAATAATCCGTTTCATTTGTTTGCCATCTTATTTATTTATGCAGTCATTGTCCAATCTGAAGATCTACGTAAGTGAAACATTGTTGAAATCGTACTTTGGATCCCCTTAGGCTATAAATTTTATTAATGTGCTATTTTGTAATATGAATGCGATCAATTATTTTCCTTCAGACTGTGAAAGGAAATTATTAGAAAACTTACGTGAATATTTAATAATAAGCCTGAGCATTAGGGAAATGAAATGGTCAGTGAGGTATAATACGATTAAGAGATGAGGCGAAAATATATTGACTATATATAAAACTGGATTACAAACAAACAGAATAATACAAACTAATCAGAAGCAAAGAGAAATATTCTTGAAAATTATGTATTAGAAATAAAACAAAGTCATACATATTCGATCATGGCTAGTATTTCATTGATACAATCAACTCGCTGATTAGTTTATCTCAGTCAATATTACAACTAAGATTCCATTATCAATCAACTCTTTCCTCTCTTTTCTCAATCTACATACACGCATATTAGGACTTGCGTTTCTTTTGTGTATTTTCATTCAAACTAGAGAAATTACAGAAATAAATATTTTCAGTCAATAAAATATGCCATTTCATAATCATAATTTCCAATTCACACATACTCCTTCAATCGATCGATCGTATACTACTCTTTCAAAAATACGCTAACCATATGAAAAAAGATAGTTTAGAGGTTTATGTTGTTTCAGAGAGGCTCGTTAGTATTTCTGATTCCTTACACAGCAAACAATTCTATGTAGAAAACTCAACTTCCTCCACAATATCCATCTTCAAATAATATTAATTCTACATTATCGAAGTCTCAGTCTCACTTTAAATAACTCCTAGTATTCACTGATCTCCACAAGTCATAATCGTGTACTGTATCATCTCGAGTTTATCTACCGGCAGATAATATTTTTGATTACTTTATTTCAAGCGTCTACACATACGCACACACACACACTGGAGAGCGAATCGCATTGAGCACCTACAGTGCACTGGTTGATTGTGATAGCGACTCGAAAAAGCACAACAGAAATTCCAACAGACAAATTAATTAGATGTAATATGAAAGTCAAGTATTCAGTGTGAATAAAGTGTAACTGGATAATCAATATTAGGTCTTGAGTGTATCAGGAACAGATGAAACGTGGATTGGTGTCGTGAGTATGGAGTAGATTTATGCATGTAGATCATTCAATGTTTGAAATATGATTGTCATGATGTTATTTTCAAATGAAACAGATGAAAATACAAATATGCAAACGCCCGCCAAAGAAATTATTGGTCAACAGCCTGTCAAAACAGAACAGTCAATGACTAAAGAGAAGACTGAAACAAAAATGCCAAATAAACAGACATCCAATGCAGACAAGTCCAATAAAGCACGTAAGTGAAACAAATGTGATATCTGTAATGGTTTATTACTAATTCACCAAAAGACAAATTCACGAATATACATATGAATGAAGGAGAACGTCTTTTTTTCAATGTAACAAATGTTTCCGATTAATTTTCATTTTGATCTCAAATACAATACTATTATCTCCTTTGATTCGTTCATTTCTATCAGGTCATCTTTCTTTTCATTCAATCAGTCATAATGCTTTGCGATACTGTTATCCAACCAATGCGGTTAACCTCTGTGTATTTACAGTATTTACGTTTCATTGATCACACTTGTTACAAATAATAGTGTTCAGAGACAATTTTCATCAGTCCTGCTTCACAAAGTACTGAGATTCAAACGCACACCATGTTGTGGAAAAATCTCGTGGACGTCATTGATTGATGAGATCCATGACTAAAATATGAGAGAAATGCCACCTAGATTTGTTTACATTTCATCCTCACGTTATCTTCTCGTTCGCGTGTTCATTTTATCAGCTCATCTGTTCATCGTCAGAGTCATTACAGTTTTCTTCAATTTTTTTCTGAAGATTCACTCATTCGTCTTGGAGGGCCGCCATCGAATCCTGGAAAAATTGAGTCAATTGACTTTCTTACTAAAATAATTCTATTCATTCAGTTTTAAGAATCCATACTGATGATACATTCAGATGTGATCTAGTAAATCTTCGTGATTTGAAATTCACGAATGTGTTCAATCATACACTAGTGTTTGGCCATTCCTCTGTCATAGGCAGTTGCTTGATCTTATCGTGATAAGATAACATCACTTTTTCGGACAGTTATTTTGCTCTCTCTCTTTCTCTTGTCACAGATTGCTAGTCAATACAACCAGATAATATGTTTGATCACTTTATTTCAAGCTTCTCCAACTTACGCACACACACTGGAGAGCGAATTGCATTGAGCAACTTCAGTGCACTGGATGAATGTGATAGCGACTCAAAAAAGCACGACAGCAATTCCAACAGACGAATTAAATTAGCGTAATTTTTATGGTATTTATGAACCATCATAAGTGAGACGGTTAATAGTTCAAATTGACATCATTCACTGATTCATGTCATCATCACGCCAAATGATTACTTCCAGATCAGTCAACCACCTGTTTTGCATTCCTAGTTCTGACATCAGACTAGTACCGTTATCCAAAATTGCTTATCAATCGCTTGAGTTAATACAAATATCGATTATTTCATGGATTGATATATATCAAAAAGAGTTCATCCTTTTCCTATTTACTTCCTATACACTCATCATTTCAGAAAGAACTAAGAAGAAGAAACAAGGTATGTTTGATGATGAGATGATTTTATCTGGTGGATTTGATTATCGCTTGCTTATTCATGGCCACCATCAGCTCGCTGATTAGTTTATCTCAGTCAATATTACAACTAAGATTCCATTATCAATCAACTCTTTCCTCTCTTTTCTCAATCTACATACACGCATATTAGGACTTGCGTTTTTTTCTTTGCAGTTTCATTCAAACTAGAGAAATTACAGGAATAAATATTTTCAGTCAATAAAATATGCCATTTCGTAATCATAATTTCCAATTCACACATACTCCTTCAATCGATCGATCGTATACTACTCTTTCAAAAATACGCTAACCATATGAAAAAATAATAGTTTAGAGGTTTATGTTGTTTCAGAGAGGCTCGTTAGTATTTCTCATTCCTTACACAGCAAACAATTCAATGTAGAAAACTCAACTTCCTCCACAATATCCATTTTCAAATAATATTAATTCTACATTATCGAAGTCTCAGTCATAACTCCTGCTATGCACTGATCTCAACAAGTCATAATCGTGTACTGTGTCATCTCGAGTTTATCTACCAGCAGATAATAATTTTGATCACTTTATTTCAAGCATCTCCACATATGCACACACACACACACTCGAGAATGAATTGCATTGAGCATCTTCAGTGCACTGGATGAATGTGATAGCGACTCGTAAAAGCACGACAGAAATTTCAACAGACGAATTAGTTAGATGTAATATGAAAGTCAAGTATTCAGTGTGAATAAAGTGTAACTGGATAATCAATATTAGGTCTTCAGTGTATTAGAAACAGATGAAACGTGGATTGGTCTCGTGAGTATGGAGTAGATTTATGCATGTAGATCATTCAATATTTGAAATATGATTGCCATTATGTTATTTTCAAATGAATTCTTTGCGAATGCTACAACTGGGAACACAAGTATGCAAATGCACGCTGAAGAAATTATTGTTCTGCCGGCCTGCTTTATAAATGGAATCTGTGAATTTTATCCATTAAAAATGTTTCGGCTATTGATTCTTCGATCATTCAACTGGTTGGCTTTTCTTTCGCAGCTGTGGAACGGGTAACGCCCGAAGAGCTTCTGGTTTTATTACGTAAGTAAATAGTATATGTTCTCGTGTTTGATTTATCATCATCCAATGAATTTTTATACATTTATGGAAACATACACACATAGATGAACGTTGACTTTCTTTACTTGACAAGTATACTTTTCTTTCAATTTTATTTCCATTTTTTCACTATTGTTTTTTTTTGACGGGTACTGCTTGTAATTGTTATGTAAATATTTTTTTCAATATGACAGCACATAAGGTACCAGATGAATGTAAGTGTTCAATTTTTGAATTACATTTTCTATCATCAAAATAAAATTTCAAATTCAATTGAAAACACCTTTTGTTTTGCATTTCAAGTGACCAAATACCTCAACTATCATAAATGCTTTAAAATGGGTAAGAACACCGAAATAATAATAATAATAATAATAATATTTAAAAGTTTTATATTTATGTGTATTTTTTTTGACACATAATTTTTATTTACTGCAAACTATTTATTAGCATTATGGGGTTGTGAAGATTATTAAGTTACACATTTTTTAAACCATGAACCGATCAATGTTAGACCACCATTAGAAACCCGGAAGCACTAGACGGCCATTTTATCCTGGTATGGGACTCCTCAGCAGTGCGCATCCACGACTCCTGCACCCCGCAGGATTCGAACCCAGGACCTTCGGTATTGACCAAGTTAGACATTAACACCGCTAGGTACCGGCTCAGTGGTCTATCGGTTAAGGTGTTAGCGCACAATACCAAAGGTCCTGGGTTCGAATCCTGCGGGGTGCAGGAGTCGTGGACGCGCACTGCCACTGATGAGTCCCATACCAGGACGAAACGGCTGCCCAGTGCTTCCAGGTTTCTAATGGTGGTCTACCATTAATCGGTTCGTGGTTTCAAAATAGTGTGTAACTACTTATTAGTAGAAAAAAATAAAACATGAAAATGTAGGAAATGGTAAACAACAACAATCTGTACATTCATCAGTTGTTGCTCCACAAAATCAAGCACTAAAACTATTGTCATACAAACTGTCGTCAACGAATACATTAGATAAAAGTGTGAAATTTTAAGCATGGAGCGTAGGAGACAAACATAAGTTACCGACTGACTGACAAAGTAAGTATGGGGTTTGATGTGCATCACAAAAAAAACAATAGAAACTAAACGCCATTGAACAACAGCAACTGTGTACATTAAAAAACGACATCTAATGCTGCATTTAACGATACAATTGAAATGATGTTTTTTTCTAAACCAAATCAGATGTGAACGCTATGACATTTAGAAAAATCAAGAAAGAAGAGAAGACCACTGATGCACCTCTACCACCGGATCCAAATCCTAATGCAAGTATGTGAAACCTTTGTGATTTCTCTATATTGATTTATCATTTATTCACCTGTACATGTATGAATAAAAACATATTTATCAATAACGAACAGGTTTCCGTTATCTTCCGTGTTAGTATTTTCAATAAAATTTAATTAGGTGAAAACCAAACTATCCCCCGAGCTAATATTTAGTGAATGTATTTATATTACAGAATATGAAGTACCGGATCACTGTAAGTTACAAAAATTAAATCATCCTTGTACATGTACTTTTTATTAGGAAAATTAAATATATATACTAATATATATTTGAAAGAAAATTATTATTATTATTATTATTTTGATTTCAATTTGTTTGTTTTTCAAGTGAAACAGTTCACATTCATGGGCCGATGCTACGGAACAGGTGAGATCAATATTCATTTTCATGGTGTTTGAATTAAATTTATGAAATTATTACTCTGATATCATTAACTAAATGATTGCAAAATGATGGAAAGAGAATCAATCATACGTCGAACTAATTGAATTGATAATGTGTGAATAATGGGTTAAAATGACTGTATTGTCGATGCAACAAGTAACTAGATGGAAGTTCCAACCGACGAATTAGTTAGATGTAATATGAAAGTCAAGTATTCAGTGTGAATAAAGTGTAACTGGATAACCAATATTATGTCTAGAGTGTATTAGAAACAGATGAAACGTGGATTGGTCTCGTGAGTACGGAGTAGAGTTATGCATATAAATCATTCAATGTTTGAAATATGATTGTCATGATGTTATTTTCAAATGAAACAGATGAGAATAAACAGATATCCAATGCAGACAAGTCCAATGAAGCACGTAAGTGAAACAAATGTGATCGCTGTATTGGTTTATCACTAATTCACCAAAAGACAAATTCACGAATGTACATATGGACTGAAGGAGAACGTACTTTTTTAAATGTAACAAATGTTTCCGATTATTTTTCATTTTGATCTCAAATACAATACTGTTATCTCCTTTGATTCGTTCATTTCTATCAGGTCATCTTTCTTTTCATTCAATCAGTCAGTCATAATGCTTTGAGTTACTGTTATCCAACCAATGTGGTTAACTTTTGTGTATTTGCAGTATTTACGTTTCATTGATCACACTTGTTACAAATAATAGTGTTCAGAGGCAATTTTCACCCGTTTCATTTCACAAATATCTGAACTTCAAACGCCCTCGGTGTGACTTATCTTCCATATGTTGTCATTCAGTGAACATAATTTACCACTTTGTAGTATCACTCATAATTTCTGTATCGGTTACTGGAATTTTTTTCCAATACTGACTGCTTATATAGTACATAATTTTATTTTGTATGCTCTGAAGGGCTATCATTATTTTTTTATCATTCACAGTTAACAATTCTCCACAAATTCTTCACTTTTTAACACAATCGCACTTCATATCATGATACTTCCTTATCCTCTTCTCTGCTTTCCGTCTACTTACTCACATTCTTCACTGATCTAAACGAGTCATAATCTTTTGCTGCGTCATTGCAAGTTTATTGATCGACTGGTGATACTTTGTTGCTATTTTATTTCAAGTGCCTCAGCATAAACATATCACACACACAATGGCCAGCTTATTTATTGATCATCTTTCATGTTTATTCATGTATCGGCATTTGTGCTTGATCCAAACCGATTTGATGAAAATGTTACATTTCACGCTCTATTGGTAGTGGATAATAAATTTAACGTTTCTCCTTTTCCCAATAAAATACACAAATCACCACATGAAATGGCTCGAAATTATCTCGTCAACTTGTGTTCAAATTCGTTGATTGTATAGACTCAGATTATTTATTCATGGTTTTTTATTTTTTCAGTTATCGTCTTGTATTTCTATCGGTGAATGACAACTCTCTCATGCCTCTAGGTCACTCTTATCCATAAAGGCACTAAATCTAATGAATAGTCTCTCAAACAAATTCACATATAAGTTATGATCATGTATTACAATATTACATTGTGCAACTCAAATGTAACTTCAATTAAAATGTAAACATTCACATTCTTACTGGATTTTCATTTTACATTACTATGTCACTTTTGCAGGTGTTCAATAGATCACATCGGTATAAACACAAGATGTCATGAAAACTGAACAATCCTAAGGTTCTTTTAACCGTTTGAAATTCTTTTGGTCAACTATATATTTTGATTTACGCACAATGATAACTATCTTGTACGTTGTATTTTTCAGTAGTTCAAAATTCATTCTAAAACCTTCATTGATTGTTGATTTGTATCTTTTGCAGTAAATAATAAAACCAGTCGGTTTCATCATGCGTGCAAAAGCATTTTTATCAATAATAAAATTTTCAGGAATTTCTTTAGAAAGATCGTTTTCATTTTCAGACGTCAAACTTTGTTTATTGAGGTTAAGAAATGTGGACAGCATATTACACCTTGATAAGCAAACTGAAAATTATATAAAGTTTAGTTATCAACGAGTAATCATGTTTTACTATATGTAAAATCTTAGACAAGTGATGTTAGATTAGATGGAGTTTGCTTGAACGACCACTTAAACACGGATTGATGAAGCTCCTGTTTTAAATAATCGACTTCGCGGTATGTAGTATAGTCTGTTGATTATCGATTTCAGTTTGTCTGGTCCGTGATAAATCAATAAAATGAGGCATTGTGTGTAATATAAATATTTTCACAATTATACAACAGCAGTGCCAAGTTCCGATAATCGATTGTCAGCATTATTTCAGAATTTATAATGGTAACATTGGTAGAAAGTATTACGTCGCGAAGTTACAACGATTCAAATAGGGTAATGAAACCTCACTTATGAAAACGCGATGACTCGATCAAACCACAATTGAAAATCTATTAGACTTAATCACAGGAGTACCAGATGAATAAATTATATATACTGGCCAGGTATGAGAGACGATGTTGCACGATATGTGTTAGCGTGCCAGCGATGTCAACTAATGAAAGGGGATCGATGCATACGACCGCCATTGCAGTCAATTCCAGTAACAGCAGTTGGTGATTTGTGGTCAGTAGATGTTATGGGACCGTTCCCGCTGACGACAAGTGGTAACCAGTACCTGCTGGTGATGACTGAGCATGCCACACGATGGGTAAATGCCGTGCCGATGGCGGAGTAACGTGCAAGGACGGTGACGGGAGCGGTAATGCAGCACACTGTGGCGGACCATGGAATACCAAAGATAATATTAACCGATCAAGGTCCCTGTTTCGAGAGTGATGAGTTCAAGTCCCGTCTAAAGCAGTTAGGTATCAAGAGAGTACGAACAACGCCGTATCATCCACAGACGACTGGGTTAACGGAAAGGAATAACCGACTTTTGGTTTTACTTTAAATTCATATTGATTGTTTGCGTGAAAAAAGGATTACTTCTCGTGATTGCCAAGTTTATTTCTGCATTATGAACATCCGAAACATTTTAACTGTTAACACGGTGATTCGATGAAAATGAAATTCTCACATCCCTGTAGGCTCTTGATGATTTCTTTAACGAATGAGTGATTATTTTACAGATTTAAATTAACGGCTCCACTTTGGCAAAGGAATTCGCTAAATAATGCATCCTGATAATTAGTTGTGGTTACCTTGATTTGATGGGTTTCCTTCGTTATCGTTCCAACGATTCAACACATTCTATAAAATAAATGATACTAAGGTGAATTAAATCGACTGAACATAGGATATTCTTAAATTTAGAAACGATCAGGCAAGTCGTTAGTTAGGCTAGCAGGTGAACAACAGTCAAGTATGTAAAAATTTGTAATAGGACAAACGGTTTTACTAAAACCGTATGATATGATCAGAGAAGCTCTTAAATCAATATGAAAAATTCATCAAAAGTGTCACGAAATCCACCAACAAGACATCTCTTTTCAATATTGTTTTTCCGAAACACCAGATGTCTTTACTTATTTACACTAGAGAAGTGATACGTCAAAAATCGAAGTTTCTTTGCATTTGGATACCACCGAAATTCAATTATTTTACTGTGATTATTATTATTGTTATTATTATTATTATTATTACAATTATTATTATGGAGGAGAAAAAGGAGTAATATTCAGTTCTAGTATATACCTCTCATGTCAGTGAGTGCTGCTGATGGTTTCATTAACCGAATTGTGATTATTTTCCTGATCTAAGGATAAAGCCAGAATCAGTTAAGTTATTTATCAGGCATCAGGTTGCCATGAGAGGAGCATCCTTAAATAAAAGACACAGGTACAGTGGACGCGCCAGGTACTTCAGATGCGATCTGCAGACATTGAACAGGTTATGAAATGCACAGTAGTCTGTAGCATGGTCTTTGACTATTTAACAGTCTTTATTTCTAAGCGTTAAGCTTGTAACATTGACATCTTGAACAGTGAGACCAATTGTGATCGGATTTTTTTTGATTTAACCTACATCTAACATACTACTTCTGTTTTATATGCAATAATCACTGAGAGTCTGTGATCAACAGTTGATTCTGTCGGTCTTTTCTGCACCTACTAATTTTGCTTGCAACATCAGTTGGTAGTGTACATCATTTTCTTCAACTATTTGGTATTTTGACCAATTATTTATTGTAACTGATGGCGAAAAGACGGAACATTTGAAGCGAAATTCTTTGCAAGTACTTTCACTGTGACCTGAGTATTTAGTTGTATTACCTGCACTCCTGCATCTCATGTGGATTTTAGTGGACCGATTCTAAGCTCACACTATGCCATAGTATGCTAGTGGTTCATATTCTGAGTGGCTGAAAGTGTAACTTACAGAGCGATAAAGAATATCTTTAGATGCAAAGTGATTATCAAAGCATAATTAACTGGTGTGGAAACTTATTTTACAGAAAAAATATATTAAACAATGGTATAATCATTTTCGATGATGTTATCTGATTTGAGTCTCATGATATCTTTAGTCGAATGGTTTAGCAGAAAATGATAATTC